GGAATGATTGCTTGTAGTGGGGGAATGAATATCATGACATGAACTGTGACGGATATTGATGCTTTTTGAATTTCGGAAAGGGAATCAACATGCATGGGAATTGATATATGAGTAGAGTGGAATGACCCAGTGAGGGCGTGTCAGTCATGCATATTGTATTTTGCAGTTTTCGGCTTGTAGATAATGTTTGAAGCATCTCTATGAGCCTGGCTCAGAGATTTCAAGAAATTTTGGACTATTGCTATTTTATGCCAATGTTTTTTTTGTTAAGAGTCATGCTGCTGTAATATGGTATATGAGCTGGGTTATAGGCTTAACAGCATAAATGCTTATGTGAATTTATTTTAGCTACAATATCTTCTTTCTCTTGTAGGAATAAATGGCACCTTGTTGATTAGTTACCTTGCCATGCTGACCAACTGCTCAAGGTATGGCATATGTGTAACTGTTGCCTTTGTTTTCTTTTGGAATTTATAAATTGAGTTGATTTTTTACTTAACAAATTGTTTAGGCTAAACTAGGTTAATTTGGCGGGAGGGATAGATTTTTATTCTTAATCTCATGAATCAAATCGGAAAAAAATATTTCAAGGTTGCAATTTGGGAAGTACCCAAGCAATTATGGAATCCTCATTTAAAAGCTAGCTATCAACTAAGAAGAACCAAAACACTTTAATACGGCACCAAGCATCCCATACTCTATTTGGTGTTTAGGAACTCCATAATTCCGGCAGAGTCCTTTTTAAACCAGCAACAACTAGCACTGGTACCAATTATGCTATCACTATTACCTGCTATTGCACCTTTTTTTATTTGTTCGGAGCTGTTTTAAACTATAGAACAATAGACTAGCTTCCAAACCAGATCATTTTAAACGTAACTCATACACCGATAACAAATATACATCCAAAGGTCTTAACCAAGATTCTACAAGAAAAAAAATAAACATGACAACAAAATTAACTTAAAAGAAGTTTAGGCTTTGAAAATAAAAAATAATTTTATTTACAACTAGTTGAGATGGATATAAAGTACATTTATAATACCCGAAACCTTTTGTGATCTGGCTTAACATCAAAAAGCATATACCTAAAAAATAGTCAACAAAGCGGGATGAAATACAACTATCTTAGTGAGTTTCCAAATTCAAGATAAAATATGATATGTCACATATGATAATACAACTTATATTGTTATAATTGTAAAGGGATCCACCTAAGGCAGACATCGGCCCAGGAATGGCCTCGCATAGAAGAGGCGACGATAAGATGCCGCACCATGGAAGGTATAGCCTTATCCAAAGAATTTTCTATATTTCAAGGACGAAAAATACAGGATAAGACGTTTCATGGGTGGAGAGAAGTCAGGGTCATTAAATGACCCACATCCTCCTTATAAATAAGGATTCAATGCTTCACCATTGGCCTCCTCCTTACAAATAAGGATTCAATGCTCCACCATTTGGCCTGGTGAGCGGCGACCCTTTCCATGAAAACGTTAGGCCTAGAAAGGGCTCTATAAATACCTTTCTAGCAGTCAAGTACTAATTCTCTAACTAATTATTAGAGTTTAAAACTAACTAATTTTGATTCACGATGATCAACTAAATACCATGTAATCAAGCTAGCCTAAAATGCTTAGTAATATTAATCACAAGCAAATTTTAATACATAACCTCAAATGTACTGTGATTAAACTAACTTAACAGAAACAAACACATGATAGAAATTCAATTCATAACAGAATTTGAACACTTCCTAACTAACTTTCTGCCTGGCACAACTAACTGTGAATGTGAGTTTCAAACAGATTTCAAGCAAGTTTTACTTACATTTGAATGTGTTCAAGGGGGATCACATTTGCTCAAATTCAGATACTCTCACTCTTAAGTTTATCTCTGATTTCTCCCTATCTCTCAACCCATCTCTTTTTTTCTTTGCAAACCACACCCATATTCATCAATCACAGATGAACAATTGAGCAATTCATTCAATCTCCGGTTCAGACCATACTCACTCACTCTCAATTGCGTACATCACAGCATCATCGCAGCGATAACAGTACAAGCTAGCTACAGAAATTGAAGAAGAGGTAGAAGAATTCATTGCATGAACAAGTTAACTTCGGAGTACATGCCTGAGAATCTTTAAGTTTTTTAATCGTCTCTGTTTGCATTACTCGGGTAGTTGCTTCTTCGAATGAAAACGATTCTTCTTTTTCACCCTGGGTTAGTTGCTATCATGTAGGTGGAGGATAGAGGAACCAAAGCCCCAACAATTTAGGCTTGAATTCCTCTTGGTGAGAGTCTAATTGTGAATTTAGGTTTAGAGTTTTGATCTTTTCCCTTCGGTTTGATTTGTTGACGAAGAATCAGGGGAAATTCGTTGTAGAGCGGAGACGAGTTAGTAAGGGCAAGCATTTTGATCCTTTGACTTGTGTGATAGGAGGAGCCCGACTGCTGGAAGCGATTTTCGGGGTGGCTGTGATTTATTCTGGTGACACTGGAGAGAGAAAGAAGAGAGTGGGAAGCAATGAGCTGAATGTGTTATGTTGGATTCTTCACGCCCTTGCCTAGCTGCATGTTTAAGCCAATAATCCCTTGTTATAGGCACCATTATTTTCTAATTAACAGCCCCACCCTTTGAAGCGATTTTCGGCGTGGCTGTGATTTATTCCGGTGAGACATTTTGGAGAGAGAAAGAACAGAGTGGGAAGCAATGAGCTGAATGTGTCATGTTAGATCCTTCACACCCTTGCCTAGCCGCATGTTGGGCTCAAACTGTTAAAGCCAATAATTCCCTTCTTTCTTAGGAGCCGGGATGATATTTGCAACCCATTCAGGATATTCGGAAGTAGCGAGGAACCCATCATCAAATTGTTTCTTTACCTCTTGTTATACCCCAAATTTTATCCTTAGATTCTTTTGTTTTTTTCATATCTTTTTAGGTTAATCATTTATGCATAACTAACCAAATTATCAGACTTTGTTTGTTTTGTATCACTTTTGAATTAGGGTTTCTTCAAGAGGCTTCAAGGGTTGATCAATCAAGGTTTTGGATAGATCACCAACCAATCAAGTCCTCATACTCCTAAGAGACCTTCTCTCATCAATAATCCAGTGTATTTTGGTTTCTTCACAAGTTCCTCGAGGCTCAGGTCGTACAAGACTGAATTAAGGATCAGACAAGGTTATTAGGTCGATGGTCTATGCAATATGGTTTGAGATTCAGTGGAAGTCTAACCTAATCTTGGTCAAACAAGTGGTTTATTTCAGTATCAGGGATCACTGCTTCAGCATGGATAATCATCAGGGCTTGCCTATTTTCAATTAGGATTTTGATGCAGTCGTCACTGGTCACATCTCAGATCATCTGTGTTATTGGCTGTTTTGAAGACAAGGATGTGAGACTATCCAAATGTTTCATCAAGGATCAGATTTGTTTTCTGATTAGGGTTTGAAGCAGTGTGTCGAGATTCATGCTTCAACTCATAATCTTTTGATTTTAAAAGCATTTCCCTGCTTTGTTGGTTCAGATGAAGATTTCGACTTATCAATACTCAAGTGGCCATGATCAAGTGGATTCATTTGTTATGATGTCACTAATCGGAAATTGATTCAAGGAGAAATTTCTTCGATTTAATTCAAGTTTTGTGACAGTCAAGTTAATTGTCAAGGTTTTAGATGTTGTTCAAGTTTGGAGGCGTGCTATAAACTCATATTAGTTCCCTTAACTTTTTTCGGTTCATACATCCACTTTATTATTCATATTCAAAATTCCACTGTCAATCCATTCAATCACCTATCATTTCTTATCCAAATCATTAAGCCATTTTTTAGATCCATTCAGTTTTTTCTCCGTTTTTATTTTAATCAATTTTTCAATATTCATTTTCAGGTATCCATCATTATTCGTTCTCCATTGATTTTAAGTTTTATCTATAATTATCCAAATTTTATTCATATCAATTCAAAGTCCATTAACACCAAAATGCTACAAAGATAATTAAAAGTTTAAGGCCCATTAACCATTTCACAAATTCTAATATAGTCCATGTCACTTTACACAAGACCCCATTACAATATACCCATTAGAATTTTACAAGAAAAATACAAAAGCCCATTGATCCTTATTATCAGATTAAGGAAAAATTCACAAAATACAAAACTCCATCAAAATGCTTCATAGCAGAATAAAAGTGCTACGTCACTATTTTCTTGCGATGGAAAAAGCTACGATTGTGTGTCTGCAAAACTACTAGCATTTAATGATGATAAATTAATTGTTTATTCCAGTTTTATAATTATAAAAGATATTATGTGATATCCGAACTTGTTTGGACTTTCTCCTTTTAAAATATAAATACTTGTTAGGTCTTTTTAGTTGATAATCCTTTCCTAATAGTGTTCAAAAAGTTAGATAAGTAAAAGTAAAAATAAATAGTTTTGTTATTGCGTAGAGAATTTTTAATATTTATATTCATATTTCAAAAATCAGTTTCAGAACAGAGTAATAATAGACTAATATATTTATGTTTTTTGCTTTAACCGTAAATTATACGTCCCTACCTATATTAAAACTCTATGGAACAATACCATTTAAACCTTATTGTTTACAAGTAGGTGATGTTCCTTGTGAGAATTCACTATTAAGGCAAGTGTCGAGTCTCCTGAGAAGATTACCTGATATTGAATCTGGAAAATTTCAATATGATTTCTTGATGGTGAATATAAAATTATATTAAAATTATGTCATACTATAAATATTATTTAAAAAAAAACCAATATTATATTAAAAGTTCTCTTTTTGAGTTGAATTCTTCACTCACCAACTACCGTTACCTCACCACACAACTAACAGCCGCCAAACCAAACACAACCCTCTTACGTTTCACTTTTTTTTTTTGTTGCTTTTTCTATGTTTTCTCCTTAAAACCCTTTTTAACTTTATTGTTAATGTCTCTTTCCTATTTTTTGTTGTTTGTTCCTCTCTGGTTTCAATAATGGAGTCTAAGCTTCTGAAACCTACGTATTTTTCCAAACCTTCAACACCCTTTTCTTATTTTCATCTATCAACTCGAGGGTCTTCTTTTTCATTCAACCCCATTTCATCTTTTTCCCAAAAATCTAATCTTTCTCTTAAGGTACAAGCTGCTTCTATTGGGTGAGTGTTTTCTATATTTTCTATTTTTGATGTTACACTCTTTCAATTCTTCATTGTTCATGTCATGTTTGTATAATTTCTCTTTACGTGGCTGGAATATTAACATTTTTGTATAGTTCATTTATGTTTTCTTAGTTTTATGATTTTAAATACCTGCGCCGGATGGTCCGGCCGCGATCCTTGATATTGCGGAAAATCATGGTGAATTATGGCTCGAAGAGCCTCTCATCCCATCGCGATCCTTGATATTGCCGAAAATCATGGTGAATTATGGCTCTAAGAGCCTCTTGTCCCGTCGCGATCCTTGATTTTGCGGAAAATCATGGTGAATTATGGCTCGACGAGCCTCTTGTTCTGTCGCGATTCTTGATATTTCCGAAAATCATGGTGAATTATGGCTCAGAGAGCCTCAACTGGGTCCGCCTCGCGGTTTCAACAACATAAAAACATAGGATTCTCTATAATGTCATTAAATATTCAATTGGAATCTAATCACATTTGTATTTTAACTCATTAATCTATTTAAACATAGGTTAAATTACTAATCGAAATACATTCATATGGAATAGGCTTTTAGGAGGCTAACGTGTAATAGCAAACTTTCGAAAAGATCATACTCAAGACTAAAACTAAATCTGTGACTAGACTTAGGCCTTAGAATGTCTGGCTCAGTTCATCCTATTTCTACCTCTAGTTGCAGTGCAACGCAGTTAAGTCACAAATTTTGATATTGATTACTTAAAGTTTTATAACTATCCTACTTCGTTTGTGTAGATCGGTGCCAATAATGAAAAGGATTGATGGGAGTGAAAATTTGACAGCTTGATCATATAAGACATTCTTTGATTCTTTCTCCATGGATGGATTTCTCCAATACTGCTACAATAAAGAAACTTATGACCCTGATGCTTTCTCCATGGATGGATTTCACGGCTCTTTGGTAGAATACATGGTCAAGGAAACTGAGAAGCTTCATGCCACGGTATGGACTTAACCCTTAAAACCAACAATCAAACCGTATTGTCAAATAGCAAATATAGCGTAACCGAACAGACCTTTATTTTTTATGGTATGTGTTTCCTGATTGGTTTGTATCACATTTTGAAGGTTGGTAGGTACAAGAGCCCGGATGAACATCCATTCTTTCCTGATGGTCTACCTGAACCGTTGTTACCGCCTTTGCAATACCCTCGGGTAAGTAAATAACATTCCTTCAACAATCAAAGCTGTTTTCTGTAATAATTTAGCGGCGAAACGACAAGTCTTCAGGAATTGGTTCTTCATTGAATTTTCTTTGTAATGTGTGAATAGGTGTTGCACCCTATTGCGGAATCGATAAATATAAATGATAATGTATGGAGTGTATACTTCAGAAATCTGATCCCGCAATTAGTCAAGGAAGGAGACGATGGTAATTATGGATCCTCTGCTGTTTGTGATGTAATTTGCTCGCAGGTACTTATTATTATTTCTCTTTTAATTTGTATTTTCAAATATTAAGGCTAAGTTTGGATAAACAACTTAATTAAGCACTTATAGCATATGTGTTTGTAACATTAGTGCTTGTGTTTGTGTATAGGATATGTCAATAACAGAAAATTAAATGAAGTCAAACTGTTCATATTAAAGTTGTAAGCCGTTTTTGCAAGCTATCACGAAGAGTTCATGAAAATAAGCTGAAAACGCTGTTTCAGTTTGTCATCAACTTGCAAATCCGCAGCGTATTGCACGTTTGTAATCACTGTTTCTGGTTTCATTTTTATTTTTGTGATATAAGTTTATAAGCTGTGGATTTGTTCGCATTACAGATACAAACAAACAAAAACGACTAAGAGGAGTGGAAAAGGCTACCGACTCGAAATCTCGAAGCAACACAGGCTTGCGGTGGTGGCGCTCCGTTGGAGTTTTTTGACGGCATTGCGGATTGGGTTCAACAGCGTGTTGTTGTGCTTGTTGGATGCTCGCAAAGGTGGCACCAAAGTCAACGATAGTGGCGGTGCAGATGCTTGGTTGTTTTATTCCCTACAGATTCTTTCTTCCGAACTTAAACATGTTCACTTTTACCTACTTTTGTTACAAATTTTATGCAGAGCACACACAAGCAAAGCAAGTGTGAAACGAATTTGATGGTAACAATGGCGGCGAGGTTGTCGATTTTTGTGAGATGCGGTTTGGCGGTGGATCTCGCGGAAGAACGGCGGGAGTGTAACGGTGAAAATAAGGTGCTGTTATGTGGGGGCGGAGTGTTTGTAGTTTTCGTGCATTTGCTCGTGAATAAGGAGGTGACAATGGTTTTGATGTTGTTGACAGATGAAGAAGGTACAAAGTTGAGAGGCTGAGGGTTTATGGTGGTCAAAAAATGAGGTTGAACGGAGGGTAACTGCGACGGTAAGGTGCAGATTTTTTTTTGTTCCAAAAATGGTAGCGGTTTTGGTGGTAAGTGTGGTAAGAAGAATAACGTGTAGGCCGGAAACGTTGTCGTTCACAGTGGAGTGTTAAACGTTGTTGAAGATGAGGAAAAGTTGTTGAAGATCCAAAGTTGAAGAGTGTGAAATGGAGTTTTAAAGTGGTGGTTTATGTGTTGAGAAGTTGGTGAGTGAGATGTGGTGTATTATTGATGTTTAGAAGAAAGAGGTGTTGACAGTAGGATAAAAGTGGTTGGAGGTATAAGTAGTTAATGGTTTATGTTGTTTTGTAGAGGTCAATATGGAAAAAGATGAGTGAAGAAATTTTAAGAATGATGTAAGTGTTCTTTATGTAGCAGGAAAACATGAAAACATGAAAGATCATTATGGATAGGGGGTTGAAATGCATGGAGAATGAGTAACATGAATTGTATGGAGTTTTTTTCGGATGGCCAAAATGAAGAAGTGTTTTAGTAATGGAATAGAAAAGGAGTTTTTGTTTTTATGAAGTGTGAAAGAAGATGATGAAAAGGAGTTTTTGTAACAGAACCTAATATGCACCGTGACTAAACTAACTTAACAGAAACCAACACATAACAGAATTTGAACACATCCTAGCCAACTTTCAGACTGGCACAACTAGCTGTAACTAACTCAATCCAAAATCCTTAAATAACCTCTAACTCAAGTTTTTGTGTCATTTTACCTGTTTGTTGTGCTGAGAAGATTAATTATGTGTTACTGTTGGTGCTTGCTGTTACAACTTCAGAACTGCATGTCCTAGATGGGATTCCACAACTTATCTTTGTTCGGTCAAGCTATACTATTGAGGTTGGGCTTTTATAACTGCTATTGTCCTTTTTCATTTTTCATATATTAAATCTTTGTAATTCAACAAATAATTGAATTTGGCTCCCTCTCCATTCTTCTTGCTTTGCTGAAGACTGTTGAAGAAGAACCCATCTCAGTGGATCATGTTGCTCATCTAAAGCCATCTGATGGTGGTTCAGCCACTACGCAATGTGAGTTGTTTTCTTGTCTCATCTTTACATTGCAATATGAGATTAATAATAAAGTTATTATTTTGGGGAAGAGAAACAATTTTAGTTTCTTTTTTTATTATGTAATTATGTCCCTTCATTATATTATTATATTGATCTTCACAAATCTGAATAAAAGGTTAGAGTTCTATTGGGCACTCAACGACCAACATGAATTGTTGTCAAATAATCTCAATGCTATTAGCGGGGAAGGTGTGTCAAGCCAAAAGTCTCCAAGAAAATGTAGTGGGAATATAGTAACTAAAATTAAGTTTAAAATGTGTATACAAAGAATATAATGAAGTAGTAACATATATGCCAAGATTAAACTTAAAATACCATAATTCATAAACTTAAAAGTCGATGTCATCTGTTGCATAATGTAAATTCACTATATTAAGCTCAAGTAACAGCTTACTAATTGTAAGCTAGGAAAAATAGGAAGAGTTGAAATGGCCAGAGTATAAAGAGAGAACTGAGAGAATGATTGAAATTTGGTTGGGTCAGTTAGACCCATCGTATTTTCTGTTATTTCTGGCTTCTCATCCATCATTTTCTCCCTTTATGCTCTGTGCACCATGAGAGTTTCAATGAAGAAAATGGCTGAAATCGTTAGATATTCAAATAGAAAGGAGTAGTCAAAAGCCCTAAGTCTACTGAAATTTGGTAGCCAAAAGTTTTGATGAATGCGTGTAACTAACCTAACTCCTACTTGGAGGGGGATTAGGTTTGTTTTTTTAGTTATACAAAAGCCCATTGATCCTAATTATCAAATTAAGGAAAAATTCACAAAATACAAAACTCCATCAAAATGCTTCTTAGCAGAATAAAAGTGCTACGTCACTATTTTCTTGCGATGGAAAAAGCTACGTCACTATTTTCTTGCGATGGAAAAAGGTACGATGGTATTGTGTGTCTGCAAAACTACTAGCATTTAATGATGATAAATTAATTGTTTCTCCTTTTAAAATATAAATACTTGTTAGGCCTTTTTAGTTGATAATCCTTTCCCAATAGTGTTCAAAAAGTTAGATAAATAAAAGTAAAAATAAATAGTTTTGTTATTGCGAAGAGGATTTTTAATTTTTATATTCATATTTCAAAAATCAGTTTCAAAACAGAGTTATAATAGACTAATATATTTATGTTTTTTGCTTTAACCGTAAATTATACGTTCCTACCTATATTAAAACTCCATGGAACAATACCATTTAAACCTTATTGTTTACAAGCAGGTGATGTTTCTTGTGAGAATTCACTATTAAGGCAAGTGTCGAGTCTCCTGAGAAGATTACCTGATATTGAATCTGGAAAATTTCAAGATGATTTCTTGATGGTAAGTGTATTCCATTCTGAAAATTTAACTATTGCTTCTTTTTTTTTTGGTTTGGAATGATTGCTTGTAGTGGGGGAAAGAATATCATGACATGAACTGTGACGGATATTGATGCTTGTTGAATTTCGGAAAGGGAATCAACATGCATGGGAATTGATATATGAGTAGAGTGGAATGACCCAGTGAGGGCGTGTCAGTCATGCATATTGTATTTTGCAGTTTTCGGCTTGTAGATAATGTTTGAAGCATCTCTCTGAGCCTGGCTCAGAGATTTCAAGAAATTTTGGACTATTGCTATTTTATGCCAATGTTTTTTTTTTGTTAAGAGTCATGCTGCTGTAATATGGTATATGAGCTGGGTTGTAGGCTTAACAGCATAAATGCTTAAGTGAATTTATTTTAGCTTACAATATCTTCTTTCTCTTGTAGGAATAAATGGCACCTTGTTGATTATGCTGACTAACTGCTCAAGGTATGGCATACATGTAACTGTTGCCTTTGTTTTCTTTTGGAATTTATAAATTGAGTGATTCATTTAATCTACGGTTCAGACCATACTCACGCACTCTCAATTGCGTACATCACAACATCATCGCAGCGATAACAGTACAAGCTAGCTACAGAAATTGAAGAAGAGGTAGAAGAATTCATTGCATGAACAAGTTAACTTCAGATTACATGCCTGAGCATCTTTAAGTTTTTTTATCGTCTCTGTTTGCATTACCCGGGTCGTTGCTTCTTCGAATGAAAACGATTCTTCTTTTTCACCCTGAGTTAGTTGCTATCATGTAGGTGGAGGATAGAGGAACCAAAGCCCCAACAATTTAGGCTTGAATTCCTCTTAGTGAGAGTCTAATTGTGAATTTAGGTTTAGAGTTTTGATCTTTTCCCTTCGGTTTGATTTGTTGACGAAGAATCAGGGGAAATTCGTTGTAGAGCGGAGACGAGTTAGTAAGGGCAAGCATTTTGATCCTTTGACTTGTGTGATAGGAGGAGCCCCACCGCCGGAAGCGATTTTCGGCGTGGCTGTGATTTATTCTGGTGA